TTGTAGCATAGACAATCACTCTCTCACTTTTAGAGGAATCAATTCAATTAATCAAACCAATTAGAAATCAGTTCCAGACTTCTTTCTTCATTTAAATAGTTTAGGACTTGCCGATCCTTTAGCAGGTAGTACCAGTGAAATCGACCTATTGATAGATGCTGGTATTTTCCCCCAGATCTTGAGTGATAAACGAATCATTCGAAACGCTGGAGAACTAATAGCTATCAGTTCGCCTTTTGGTTGGCTAGTGTTGGGACCGCTTTTCAATAGTCCTGAAACGCCTGACTTAGCTAACTCTTTTAGTTTTGACACCCCCATCCAACCCACTTTAGACGCAATTCTTAAGACACAAACTGTGGTAGAGTGGTCCTAGTTGGTTGATGTTGAACAGCAGTTTGTGACCGGAAATGCCTCGTAAAAGCGTGCCCACTCCTTTCATACATATAGAAGGAAGAGTGAAAAACTTTGCATGTTTGGTACCACCATCCTTAAGAAGAATTTCTATTGAAACATTCCCCGCTTAGTAAGGTTCTTCGTATAATAGCCTACTGCATTAGATTTTTATATAACACGAGAAACCCTGATAAACAATTAGATCACGAAAAGAAAACATGCACCAAGCCTTGATGTGCAATATTAAACATGTCCAAGCAGAAGCCTTCGCAGACATCCTGGTTAAAATCTGGAAAAATTTGCCTCTCCCCAAGGAATTACGAAGTTGAGTCCCTTTTATTGACCCCAATGGATTGCATCGGGTGGGCGGACGTCTATCACGAGCCGAGCTCTCACTCGATACGAAGCATCTCATTTTGCTCCCTAAAAGGCATAAAATAACAGAACCTAGATGATTGTCATAGAACCAACTTCCATCCTGGACTGCGTAGTATGCATGATTACTTACCCTGGATCTTGTCAGCCAAACGCGTTATGCGGTCGTATCTGTCTAAATGCACTCATTTTTTTAAAGTCAATCCTGTTGCTTTGCAACCTCCCAAAGGAGATTTGCCACCTACTCGTCTCTCACAAGTTAAACCTTTCTTATGGTTGGGGATGATTTCGGCGGTCCTTTTAAGATCTCTTCATCCAAACACCGAGGTGTTAAGTCTACTAAGGTGTATTTGTGTTTCTTTAATGCCGTCCATCTGGAGATGGCTTCTGATTTATCGTCAGAAATTTGTCGCTTGTCCAGTGATTGTGGTATTAACTTTTTGGCGCCAATAAGATCCTAGTGCGCTTCTTTAAGGATGTTTGTAAAAACGAGAAGTTGGAATGGTCTTGCAACCTTCCTTCTGCCCTCCATTTTGGGGGCTTGTATGAGGCCGGCGTAAAGTCTCATTTAGTCAGAGTCATGAGTGAGCAAGTATTGACATTCGAAGAATTTTACACCTTGCTCACCCAGGTAGAGGTCATGCTGAACTCCAGACCATTATGCAGCATTAGCTCGGATCCCAATAATCCTGCTGCCCTAACCCCTGGCTATTTCCCTCAAGACGGCCCTCCTTCGGGGCTTCCAGGCCCAGACTTATCACATATCCAATTGAATCGCCTAAACAGGTGGAAATTAATACAAAACATGTTTCAAAGTATGTAAAAACGATTTTCCCTTGAATACCTACACTCCTTACAGCAGCGTTAAAAATGGCATGATCCCGGGATAGAATTAGTCCCCGGCTCATTAGTCCTAATAAAAAATGAAAATTTACCGCCACTTCGTTGACCATTGGGCCGTATTACCCAACTTTTTCCTTGCCGCCATGGAAATGTATGGGTATCAGTGGTATTTCCCAAAGAGTTAAGCTCTGTTTACTCCCTAGTCAGTGATACTATCTGAGATATACTTTAGTTTCTCGTTGATAATTATTTTTCTTAAATTTAATAGTTCGTTTAAAGTTTAAAATGTAATATGCATTTTGGGCGGCGGAATGTTTAATGTTAAGACTCCTACATTTTGCATACTGACCATACAGAGTGACGAACATGCCACGTCATAGTGCCTTAAGTAACTGGCTGTGGGATTAGAAGCCCATGGTCCATACAGTACATTTGAATATGACCCATGTGTTACCTGGCAAGGGGGTAACTGAGCGTTCAATTTTATTTCCTCCACGGTACGCAAACAGATGATAATAATAACAATAATTTTAGTATGTACAAATATTAAGACTGTTATTAATAGTATCGACAAAAATAACAATAAGAAGAGTCTTTATTTTAAAAATTATCCTCAAATTAAAGAATTGAATCAAAATTTGTTAACTGATAAAAGACTACCATTACAATTTACGTTGGATTAGAACCTGAAGTAGTTAGTGGTAACTCAGTTATTACTGTAAGTGCATGAAGAGTTGATGCCATTTTACAAAGGAAAATATATCAATACAGCTACAGATTTTGCCAGTTTGTTAAAAAGTTGAATTATTTTACTCTATGAAATCACCAACGATGAAATAGTTACAATTAGAAAACTAGTACCTAAAAGCATAAGCGCCATTCCCGTTATCATGAATATAACCAAGGTTGACTGACAGATGCGTCGCTATTATTACATCAATATTCAAAATTGGTGGGAAAAATTAAACTATAGGCTAACAATACAGAAGAAAAATCCCGGCAACCTCAGAAATAATAGATTTAGAAGTAGAAATAAATAGAGAGTTTCTAAATCCTTCAATTTTCAATAGAGAAAGTACTTACTATGCCGTGTATCCTTCCAGTAATTCCGCTGGCGAGAATCTTCATACAGTTTCGGATCGCCTCCATATAAAAAACAAAAATTTTAGTGTTACTATGTCTTATGACCTGGACACGAAGAATTTGTACCCAAACATGATTCGCTCACAGACATTTTTGCATATCAGTGTACCAAGTGAAAATAAAGACATTAAATACAGATATGTTGCAGTGGCAGACACTTGAGTTGATGAAGATGGTGAAATAAAAGTTACCCTTCTGCGTTGCCAGCGGGGCTCACCAAAAATGTTCATGACATAAAGATGTTTCATAAGAACAAGCAGTTAAAATTTCGCCTACACCTAAATTGCAGAAAAAAGGTAGTCGTAGCTTCTATTATTTGGATGAAAATATGGACATTTTCGAAAAGTAAACGTGATTACTATAAATGGCCCTATTCTAATTTTCTTTGTTATTTATTTTTGTATTTTACGTTTAAATTAACTTAAAGCTTCATAGGAGGAATCTAGTTTACATTTTCCTGAAGACGAAGAACCTCAACTTTTTCCTCAAAGTGAGCTGAACGACCTAGTAAGAGACTTCGGACTTCGGATCACCGCTGAAAAAGAAAAACCTGCTAGCACCTACAACCTAAAACTATAATGACTTGGTTATGATTCTTAATTGAAACTGAAATTAAATATAAAGAGCACCAATGGATGGTTTATGAAGATTTCAAAATACTAACCATGTTGTTTAGTCAGCAAGAAGGCTAAACAAAATATCCTTGCTTTATTTATTATGGGACAATAGAGCCAGACAGCTGCACTGGACAAAAACTGATTGGCCTCTTCGAGGCCTGAAGATAAAAACGTCATAAATGCGCCTTTGGTTAATCGAGAAAGTCTTATTACCACCTCTTCACATTAAACTTATAAAGCAGTTTGTGAAATCACTGCTAAAATTAATTTCTTGCACTCTCATATTGAGTATTTTCATGAAAACTTGGGAGACTGCATTGAAAACAGGGTGAAAGATTTCACCAGGATGTCCATGATTTTGGGATGGGAAATGGGATGTCACTATGTTAGCTGACTACTGTTGGATGCTCAATCTTGAAACCGAAGAAGGAAATCGGAAACAAGTTCGGAGAAGCATCAAAGAAAAAAAGAAAAGGTTTTGCAAGACAAACGAGTAGACCTAAAATTGTGTAGAAATATCAGAAACAGTTTTTTGATTAATTGTAAGAAAATAGTTCATTGTACAAAATTAGTGGTTTTATTAAACATTTATTATTATTTTGCAAAAAACGTATACGTGATGGCATATTGTGGATATAGTTTTTAAAATCTGTGATCTTTAAAAAATATAATTCAACAAAAATATACCATGCAGCTGAGTAAAACCTGTTCCTTTGCAGACCTGTGTTACTTAGGCAACCGTCATAGGGAACTACACTGTCATTTCGAAAACATCATCGTCATTTTCGAGAACGTTACTATAACGGCAATTAAGTAAATAATGAATTATTTATCTTAAAATGTTTGCATACACAAAATTAAATATCTTTTAAACTTATTTAGTTATATTACCTACTAATACATTGCATAGAATATTAATAAAAAACATAAATTGAAGTTTTGTGTTAGAATTTACACCAAATAGAAGATAACGACGAGGACTTTAAAAAAGTAAAGCCTTGATTGTGAAAATTTCAATTCTTAAACATGTTTATTACAGTTTTTTTGAAAGCAATTTCGTATTATATTGATTACATGTTATATTAAATTAATTAGAAGGATGTTTCCGAAATGATTTCCGACTGACTTACTTTTTATTGACCATCAGAACATTGAAAATACGCATCTTATTGTGTTGTTTTTTCACAGGAAAGTTTCATAACATTTAAGGCTATAAACAGCTTTTGTTAGATTTTTTCGGAAGCTAAATCAACTTTTCAGATATTTGAAAACGTAAAATGCACACCTCTGATTTTGACCTATTGTATTACATGTGTATTACTTATGTATGTGTTGAAGTTTAAACTGTTCAGATAGATGTCACTTTTGTATTGGCTTGTTTTCTTTTGTAAGTTGGTACTCTATGTAGTTACTTCAGTTACTTTTTCACGACCACGCTGTAAACATCGGTCAAAAGAAATCTGTTTATTTCTCGAACTCTCGTGTTGTTTTTACTGAAAATCCTGTTTCCCACAACAGGTTATGGGCCCAGCTACGCGTTGAAGTCAAATTTTGTTGCGATTTTCGGTAATTTTGTGTGCAATTCGGTGTTCTCGACAAGACCTTTCGTCAAGCCAAAAAAAAAACAAGATGGCTGAACCCGCACAGCAACAAGATGAGAGTGGTCGTGCTCAGTGGGAAACGTGGAAGTGGCAAATCGAACTTTGTTTGAAAGAACAGTGTCTTTTTACGATTGTTGACGGTACACGGGTGTGCCCTGCCGCGCCTGCAAAAAAAGCAGAACCGTCCGACGAGTATAGCCGATAGCAACGAGACAACGCGCGCGCGGCTCGTATTCTGGGTACGGCACTGGACGAAGAAGCTGCAATTTACGTTCGCAAAAAGACTGACGCCAAAGAAATATGGGATACACTTTTATCAGTGTTCGAACAATCCTCTTTGCAGCGCCTGTACACGCTATTCGACAGTTTCTTCGAAATCACGAAAGATGACGCTACTTCAATCACCAAACACGCATCCCAATTGGCAAATTTGTTCGATGATATTCTCGCAAAACTTCAAAAGGGCAATCCTCATGCAACGCTCCCGGTATCTTTACTGCATCACAGAATTTTCAAAACGCTCGGTCCTGAATATCAATATTATCGTTCGACTTGGTATCGCGTTCCTGAACCTGAGCAGATAACAAAACTTCTGATCGAGAATCTCCGATCAATTGAAAATTCACTCTCGTCGCATTCGTCCGGTTCTTTCTTTGCTAAATCTAAATCTCAACAACACACACACAAGAAACAAAACAAAAATTCTCAAAATTCATCTGCAACAAGCAAGAAGGAGAAGCGCGCATGTTTGTACTGCAAGAAATTTGGTCATGTCATCAGTAATTGTCGGAAACGTGAGGCTGCAGAACAAAACAAGCAAACAGATGGTGACAAAACGGAACACAAACAACACCCCAGAGGAGGCTCGTTTTTCGCTACAGGATTGGCTGTCAACACCGATGTCGCTTTAGTTGACAACTGGATCTCGGACTCCGGTACAACGCACCACATATCGGCAAACAAGCAGCATTTTGATACTTTCGAGAAGTTCCCAATTCCATAGCGCGTTCAAACGGCCGGCAAATATTTCATTCTGGCGTATGGATCAGGCAGGGTCGACGTTGAGGTTCGCATCGGTGACAGGTTGTCGACTGCAACGCTGAATGATGTTTGGTACGTTCCCGAGTCACGTCATCAACTTTTCTCCATCCGTCAACCTGCTCAACGTGGAAATGACATTTTATTCGATTCAGATGGAGTGAAAGTTTTGTTTGATGTTGAACTTGTAGCGACCGGTCAACTTGTCAGATTTGTGTACGTTATAGACATACGCGTTCGCACCCCAAGCTAATCTCGCCACATCAGCTGACGTACTTCAAGGATGACACGAAAGATTCGGACATCAAGACAAACGACACGTGCGTGACGTTTTGTCTCGTTTTGGCATTTCGTGCAAGTCGTCTGACACACCGGATTTTTGTGACGGTTGTGCGTTGGGGAAATCGCACCGCAAACCTTTTCACTCGTGTGTCGATCGCCCAACTACGGTTGGTGAGCTGATTCACGCTGACGTGAACGGCCCAATGTCTGTTGATTCGATTAACGGTTTTCGTTACTACGCGGTGTTTAAAGATGACTATTCTCAGTTTGTTCGCATATTTTTGATGAAGCGCAAATCGGAAGTGGCTGGACATTTGGACTCATTTCTGAGAGAGTGTGATACCGCTGGACACAAAGTGAAAACTTTTCGTTCTGACTGTGGGACTGAATTTGAGTGCGAAGATGTGATGCAGTTGTTACGCGAACGAGGAATCGAGTTTCGGCCGTCGTGTCCGTATACGCAGCAGCAGAACGGAGTCGCAGAACAGTCAAACCGTCATATCGTCGAGCTGGCACGTTCGATGCTGACAGTCGGCGGTTTATCAAAATCTTTTTGGGCACATATTTGTGACACCGCTGTACACGTGATCAACCGGACCGGTAAGTCACATGTTCCTGGCAAGACACCGTTCGAGATGTGGACCGGCAGTTTTCGACAGCTTCGATCACCTGAGAATCTTCGGCACAGAGTGTTATGTGAATGTGCCAAAACAGTTCCGAACAAAATTCGACGCCAAAGCTGTGCTTGGTCGTTTTGTTGGTTACGTCAACGACAAGGATGGATACAGTGTGGGTACCATCAAAACATCGCCTGATGAAGTCACGACACGTCGATTTTCGTCCAGAAAAACTTTGTACTACAAATAATACAATCGACCTTGAATTTGGAACTCGCTGTGATGACCAGGATAACCAAGACGGGGAAGTTGGGACCGACGACCAGGCTGGCGCTGAATCAGACTGTGAAAATTTTGATGATCTTCCTGAAGAGACTGACGATGCTGGATGTGAACCTCCTGAGAATGCTGCTCAACCTGTACCAGGAGAAGTTGCCCAAGGACGAGTGTTGCGGCCAGCACGTTCGATTCGTTTGCCATCGAGATATGATGACTACGAAGTGGGACATCAAACTCGTCGTCCAGAGGCAAACATCACTTTAGCTTGTTTGACGAACTGGACGCTTTTCGAGAGAACGAAACGTGGGACTTGGTGCCGTTGCCGCCGGGTGAGCGCGCTATCGATAATCGTTGGGTTATCCGAGTCAAGTACAAGCCTGATGGTTCGGTTGATCGATATCGTGCTCGTTTAGTTGTTCGTGGAATGTTTCAACGTCCTGGACTCGATTACGACGAAACATTTAGCCCGGTCGCCCGGTACGACTCCATCCGAGCCTTCATCGCAACTGCAGCCGAAGAAAACCTTGTGCTTGGTCAATTCGATGTTCGAACTGCCTTTTTATATGGCAAACTTGACACTGTCATCTATATGAGACAACCACAAGGCTTCGATGATGGACCTGGATACGTCTGTTGTCTAAACAAAGCTGCATACGGCCTCTAGCAATCTCCCCGTTACTAGAACAACGAGCTCAACTCGTTCATGAAAAAGAACGGTTTCATACGTTCGAAAGCCGATCTGTGCATCTACACGAGGACTAGAGGAGGAGACAAATTGCTCGTCGCAATTTACGTCGATGACGGTCTTATTGCTGGATCATCGCAGGCCGTGGTCGACTCGTTCCTGAAATTGCTGACTTCGAAATTCAAGATCACAATTGGATCTCTCGACTCATTTTTGGTGATGCAGATCGAGCAACGAGAGTTTGGTTTCTTCCTGTCGCAGCGCATCTACATTGAGAAGATTCTACAACGATTCCAAATGACAAGCTGCAAACCCGTGAAGACACCTGCGGACAACGAGAAACCCGACAACTCAAACGACGAGCCTCTCGACATGTCCAGATATAGCGTTTGCTGTTTCGAAGGTGGCACGAGCGATGGCGAACCCCACAAAGTTCGACTGAAATTGCGTTAAACGCATCTTCAGATACCTCCGGGGCACTTCTGCATTGGGTCTGCTTTACACTTCAACTGCTGACGGACTGTGTGCCTATTCTAATGCTGACTTTGCGGGAGACGTCAAGACTCGACGATCAACCAACGGTTTCGTGTCCTTGATCAACGGCACATCAGTTTCGTGGACCTCACAACTGCAGAAATCAGTCGCTTTGTCGACAACCGAAGCGGAATTCGTTGCTGCGAGCGAAGGTGCAAAGGAACTGGTGTGGCTCAATCGACTGCTGTCAGGAATTGGTACCTCTGGAGAGACACCAATTTTGTTCGTCGACAACGCCAGTGCCATCAAGTTGGTGAAGAATCCGGAATTTCACAAAAGGACCAAGCACATTGCAGTGCGATACTTCTTTGTGCGAGAACTTTATTAGGATGGTGACATCGACGTAGAATTTGTGGCTTCAGAGAATCAACTGGGAGACATGTTCACAAAACCATTGAATTCTAACAAGTTTAAATTCATGTGCTCCAAAATTGGACTTACAGTTTAATCATTTTTTTTCCGTTTAGTTTGGTACATTAGAGTCAATTTGTTCTTCTTTTTTTTATTTTTGCGAAACAATTAAAATTTTTTTTTTCGTTTTTTTTTTTAAATGTCAAATTGTTTCAAATTTCATATTTTTTTTTGTATCAGATCAGTTTACGGGGAAGTGTTGAAGTTTAAACTGTTCAGATAGATGTCACTTTTGTATTGGCTTGTTTTCTTTTGTAAGTTGGTACTCTATGTAGTTACTTCAGTTACTTTTTCACGACCACGCTGTAAACATCGGTTAAAAGAAATCTGTTTATTTCTCGAACTCTCGTGTTGTTTTTACTGAAAATTCTGTTTCCCACAACAGTATGTATCAGGTTCCAATAAAACAAAGGAAAAAAAAAATTGAATTGTAATGTGATTTTCATTATGCCAGTATTAATGAATATTTCATTATTGGTTTGGTACCTAATTATATTAAAATAACCCTATTAGAAATATAACGATTCAATTTTATCCCGCGATTCAGACGATCAACCTGCGCAAGCTTCTTATGTATAACAACGTACATCGACTTTTATTTTACTATTCTCCTTTTTTAAATAAATAACTGATCAACAAACGAAATAATAATGTAATATATGTTAAGCAAACAAATGATACTGATTGGATGTAATCAAATTAAAAAAAAAACATTTATTCCCCAAATTCTCATTCAATATTTAAATTATTAATAACCAAAAAACTAATTATCAACAGATAATAAAATTGCATCAACAATAATAAAACAATCGTCAACAATTGAATAAGATCGATAAAATGCAAAAAAGAATTATATACTTGACAATTTTACATAGGAGTTGACATTTTGAATGCGTTTTAAGACACATTTGACACTAAAAATATATTAAGCCATATCATATCTAAGTCGTCGATAGTTACTCCGGAAGGATAGAAAGGGCTGAGATGCACCGCTAGATCATGAGGATTTAAATGTCGATGCCAAGAATATATATAATACAAGAATTTTTTTTAATAGGCGAACATGAGGAACTGATATCGGTATACCTTGTTACTGCCAAGGTTAGAGTCACACCATTAAAGGAAATGGCAGTATCACGATTGGAAATATTGGAAGCCACTATAGTTGCTAGATTGTATTATTCTATAAATAACTATTTTTGGAGCGATTCATCTATATTTATCTCTTGGATTAACCGATACAAGAAATGACCGGTATTTATCAAAACCGAGTAAACGAGAGTCGGACCATAACTGAGAAGGAGAGATAGAACCACGTGCCGGGAAACATCAAATTTACCCTTACGAAGATGTAGTATGAGTCGTTTGATTCAGTTCCGATGGAGGGAGCGACTTGCATGTATACTGACACTTTTGGTTAATCAAAAGAAGATTAAAATGTTGATGAGGCACAAATTAATGTTGAGAAAAGGAAAACGACTATAGTTTCACTTATTGCAAAGTCGAACTTCCGCGATCTCACTTATTTTTCGAGTTATAATAGGGATAACTTGATTTAAATGATTTTGTTTCAATGCTTGCAACTCTTCCTGTAAGTTGCAAGAGACGTTACTTGTAGCCGAACTTAATGTTGCAGAGACATTAGCTTTAGAAATGGTACAATGAGAAGTTTTTAAAGTTGAGAATTCGCGACTGGCCTCCCTTACTGTTGGAGAGAGCGTGCCATTACCATAGCTTTCGAATTAAAGGGTGTAAACTTAACCGAACCACCACCAACTTCGTGCTTAAATTCTTCTAGAATCTCATGATCTAGCAGTGCATCTCAGCTCCTTTTATCCTTCCAGAGTTACTTTAAAAGTTTATGCGCTGCCCGCACTGAGAGTATTAGTCTCTTACTAGCAGGTTCATCTATGACTTGATGCATAATTTAGACTTTCGACATATTTTACTAGCTATTTACCCGCGGTTTCGCTCACATTGAATAAAATTTTCCTATGAGTACCTCCCTCCCAAATATCTTTCTTAGGGATGCATGCTGTCATTCTATCTCTTTGTCTTATTAAAATCTATTCAGTAGTAAAAAGGTAACAGAGAGACTGAGTTCTTTCTTGATTTTATAATATGTATGTATATGTCAATACCTTTTTTTCATTAAAT